TATTAACGATCAAACAGTGTGCACATCTTTTTGGGACACTATATGAAGATTTTCTATGTATCTTTATGCATAGAATTGCCCATTGAATACCATTTCAGATGCTCGAAGCTCCAACAATACCGTATTATAGTTGCTGTACACACATGCATCAAAAGTAATTCCAGCCTTAATTATTTCAAATTTTATCCAGAGTACACATAAGAGCACCAAAATGATCAAGAAAAAACAACAGAATTGAGCAGATTTTGTTCGACCGAAATTATGTAGTTCTGAAAGAATAAGAGAATAAGTGTACATATCACATTTGGTCTCTAGCGGTTATGAGCACTGAAACAAATCTGAAACTATGTAGACGGTATTTTAGCCAGGGAAGCGGATAATTTTCGATGGTTCCACTCCAGCTTTCGTAGCAAAATTCACAACATCTTTTTCCATAGTTTTGCTGCCGCAAACGCTTACCTAAACGCCCAGTCACAACTCTAAAACATTTAGAGGCTGCTTTTACTTACCATAACATTCCCTGGCTTCGCTCTGTTTATTGCAGCAAATTGCTCCAAAAACACATCTTCACCAAATCTCTTATCGATGCGATCGAATAGATAAGGCAACTTGCCCTAAAAGAAAGTAAGGCATGGTCATTAGAAGAGCATGCGAAATACGAAAAACCTCTAGAGCTGATCCGCAAATCGCTATGGAAATATTCCACTGTTTTGACCATTCGACAAGTTGTTCTTCAAACAGTATATCACTCCTGCTTTTCACGCAATACAGCAGCCGTACTCGGGTTTCCGTCTCATCGTCTTCCAAAATATCTTCGATAATTCGAATGAAAGGGGCGATTCCTGTGCCTCCAGCTATGAGGAGTAGATTCGATGTCTGTAAGTCAACAATTACCTACTGAAGTTTAGCTTAGTCCCTATGCAGTCGCCTCAAACCTCTTCCTTTACCCAAGTGATACTTTCCGGATATGGTCCCCGCCACTCCACTTTGTCACCGACTTTCCACTGCTTTACGTATTTTGTAAGTTTTCCATCTTCGTAGATCTGTAATAGCAGCTTACAGATTGTAAGAACCAGTTCGAATGCGTACCTTTATGGGGATTTCAAAAAATCTTGAGTTTATGGCAGTTGGTGTATATGGTCTGGACAAATTTTCACTGCCAGCTGCTTTTCTGGAAATGGAAATTTTTAAAGATGTTGTGGAAAGAAGCGCTGCAAAGTTTCAGCACTTATGAGTACCATTTTTCATTCCTTTTTTTACAGATATGTTTGAACTTCCTTATAATGCCGTAGAGTCGCTGTGTCTTCACTTCACTGTGCACAGAACATATAAGAAAATCTCTTTATTATATTTGGAGAAAAGGAGGGACATTCAAATAATAGCCTGTTTGAAAGACATACTTTCTAGAACTATATTATAGACTGAAACTCTATGAAGACAAGTTTGATGAGCAAGAAAAAACTCAGCAAAAACTCGTCTTTTCACATGTAATGATGGACAGATAAATGACATGCTAAAATGTAAACAATAATTTGACCTTATTATTTTTCAAGCTGTGCTACAAATAAAAAAGGTCAATCTCGGTAGTTCGACACACATACAAATATTTGTTCATAAAAGACAGCCACATATATCACAGAAATTCAGCAAAAAGCTGTAGAAAAGAGATTTGAGAAATACAATATCTTGCCAAATTGCAAGATGACATTGACATTCCCGTCCAACGTCTTACATCTTGGATCACAGAACCGTAAGAAAGAAAAACTAGAACAGCATGTTCAAAACGAGATCTAGACAGTAATCATGAGGATGTAGCCGACAAGGGCCAAATATGGCTTCAATAACGGGCCAATATAAGGTGTCCATAGTATGTACTCTACTATAAACCAATATGCTTTGAACTGAAGACGTCCCCATGATGGGAATGTCCGCCGCACCTCAATTTTACCTGCTTCCATTCGTTCACGTGCTAATCTTACCTAAAAATAGTAACATATAGATCGAGTTATAAGCAAAAATTTTTATAAAAAGCTCAAACACATTGTTAAGGCAGAAGAAGATTTTTTGCAAAACGTCTTCCCATGCCGGGAATCGAACCCGGGCCGC